TATAGAAATAGTCATCCGAGCCACTTGAGGAGTCAAGGAATGAGGAACAAGGTGCCTTCATTCTGGAATTCTTCTTGCTAGAAAATCGGGATTACATACCTCATCTAAAGGCCAAGAAGTGCAGAATACTACATTATTTCCTTAGGCCAGTTAGATTCGTTCGACCACCCCAGGAGCATAATCATAATCTTGAAGCAAACTTGGGGTTCAATTCATAAGCTCGAGGTGGAGGAAAAAAAATAATTTGCGTCATGCCACGATATTAAATCAGGTACTTGTTGGGAGGCAACCCAACTTTACTACTTTCTTTTATTTTTAATTTTTTTAATTATTTTTTTTATGTATTATTTTTGTAGTATCAATTTTTGATTTTCTAGGAGCATGGAAAGCAAAGCTATTGGAAGGATGCAACAGCAAATCGGATGGTTGGAACTAAGTGTGAGGTACCTGCACGAAGGACCATGCCCGGGAGAAGTCTGAGTACCCCATTAGCTGCTAGTGCTTCGGCTTTTAGTCTACCAAGGAGTTTCTTATACCCTCTTATTAGTATAGTGTGCATTGGGGACAATGCAAAATTTTAAGTGTGGGGTAAAGAGATTTGTCTGGGCGACTTTCTATGCTATTTTAGTTGTGTTAGTTTAATTGAATAATGCTTTTTTAGAAAAATGGAAAAAGATTGGACTGTTCCCGACGATGGATATCCTAGACAATTTTCTTGAGGGTTTAAAGTCCGACCAAAAACACACACAAAAAATTAAAAAAAATCCAAAATATATTTCTTTAATTTTTGTAGGTAGTAAAAATCCCCCTGATTTTTCTTTGTGCCTCGGTTCTTTTCCATGTGATGTAGTTTGAACCGGGTCATAGTTTTTTTTTTTAGAGTAGAATATGATTTAAGGAATAAAAGAAGGAAGATAAAATTTCTAGGCGCCCTTTTGACTTGTTTGATAGTAGCATATTTAGGCTCTAGCATGTGTATCACCTTTCCTATGGTTTGAAGTTGCTTATGATGCCTTGTTGAGCTAGATAGCATGTCTATTGATGCCTATGTCGCATTTTCATGGATCGTGTTCACTTTGTGCAAAATGCTTAATAATTTGTGGCTCCGTGAATACTTGCAATTGCTTGAGAATCAGAATGGAACTGTCCTTAGTGAATCATGTGCCATGTGTGATGAGATCTTCTTGTGTAGTCCATGTCGTTATAACTGAGTCTAGAACTTGCCTGGCATGTGAGTTCAAGCGAAATTTTATGTTTTGCTCGGTTTGAAAAATGATTTTAGGCTTTCTTTGATCTTTTTGAGCTTAATGCTTACCACAAATAAAAATTATCCCTAGTCAACCTTTTGAGCCTATAAACTTTTATTTGGCAACCACATTACAAGCCTATACCCTTTTGTTCTTAATTGTTATTATTTTGACCCTTTTACCTCTTAAAGCACTTTAATTGTAAAATGAGCGCTAGAGGAAGTTAGGAGGGAACTTGTGTGGCTTTTAAGTGAAACCAATGAAAGAAAGAAAGGTGCAATTGTATTGTAAGGATTACACCACTAGCAAGAATGGTAGAGGAAAAAAAAAGGTTAGGGTTGAAAAGAAAAAAAAAATGTAGCAAAGAAAAATAAGCATATCTTGTCCTTGCTAGGGGGTATGAATTAAAGTAGTTCTTAATGAAAGAGTAAATATTTTGGGGGTGATATTGTTTGTGAAATTGCAGTTGGGTTGAAGAAAAATGCGCTTAAAACTAATTTTGTGATGTGTTAAAGTGGTTAGGAGGGTTAGTCGCTATTCCTAAATTTATCCTACTCGTCCTTTAGCCCATATTACAATCATAAAAAGTCCTAAATGATTTTAGATCGATCAAGCCTACATTAGTAGAGATTTATATAATGGGCAAGCCCATGGTACTTTGTGCATGCATGTGGCTTCTTCGTTGATTTATCTGAGTCCTTAAAATATATTTGAGCATTTGATTCGAATGTGTGGATTCAACTTACTCTCTTATTCTTGTTGTGAGGGCACATGATTTCGCAAGGGATAGGTGACGTTATTAGATTTCTCTATGATGTTAAGTGTTCAAGCCATGAATGCATTGTGATATTGAGTCGGCCGGCTAGGATTGTTATAAGCATATTTTCTAGTTGTTGAATAAAATTTTGAAGTATGGCATAAAGTAAAGGGAAATGTGTGTTGAAGGCATATGCTAAAGTTTATTTGTTGCTATCAACCATAGTCATAGGGATGGTGTGCTTCAGATGTGCTAAAACAAAAATGCTCAAGGTTAGTGTGAATTGGTGGTTGACTCGAGGACAAGCAACGTTTAAGTGTGGGGTAGTGATGTTTGGCCAAAATGATATATTTTTAGTACATTAGTCGCCCTAAAGTTTGTTGGTTTAGTGATTAATTGTGTGACATTTGAGCTAAATTATGTTGTTTTATGCATAGGAGCATCGGAAAAAAGAGCCGAATGAAAGTTGCACAAAATAGGACGAAAATGTAAGAAAAGAGCACAAAAATACCAAGTACCCAAACCGTGCTACAGGCCAAGTATAGCCAGCTTGACCGCGCTACAGGCCGGGCGTAGCCAGCTCTGTAGCCAGGCTGACCGCGCTATAAGCCTGGCCTCGCGAGGTCTATAGCTCGGTAATTAAAAGTCGCGGGATAAAAGACTTCAACCCGGATTTGGATTCAAGGACTACAACCCTAGCCTATAAATACTCCCTAAACATGTCTAAGAAGGGAGGATGTATTTAGAGCAGATTCGGCCTAAAGGAGAGACATTTTTGGAGAGGGGATTCGACCCAAGGAGGCAAGAACACGCTAGGAGCAAGGCGGAGAATTCTTTTATGAGTTTTTCACTTTCTTCTTCCTATTTTCATTATTGGTTATGAATTCCAGTATTGTAGTTTTGCATACTATTATGAATAGCTAATTTTTTTATCTAGGGTTTGATGGAATCTTTTGTAGAATAAATTCTTATGACGTTTTTATATAATTGAGTCGTTGAATTTCTCTACTTGTCCAACTAGGTGTTTATTGTTGTTGATTGAATGGCCATCAATTGGTTGTGCCTATTGCTCGAGAGAGAGTACACATTTAGGTAGTTATTGAACAACATCACTCCTAACGTATGTGAGAGATCAATACGGAAGGTTTAAAGGCGGGACTAGAGATAACGAAATCTTGGTGTAATCGTAGTGAGCGGTAAACTAGTGCCAGCTAGTGTAGTTCAAGAAAATACGTCTTGTAAGTTATGGTAGTTACTCGAGAGAGAACTATGACACCCAAAGTACTCACGATCGGTAGAGAATACTTAGACGAAATGATAGAAGACGTAGCGGGAAGGATTCCGACATTTGGGAAAATCGTAACTCTAGGCCTCCTTAATCTTTTCTCCAACCCCTAGTATCTCTAGTTGTTAATTCAATACTTTAACTTGTTAGTTAATTAGTTTAACATAAGAATCTTTATATTTATAACTTAGGAATTGTTTGAAATTGTCTTCTTAGTGATACTTAACAATTATAGCGAACCCTTAGTTCTCTGTGGGATTCGACTCCGGACTCTTAGACCAGATTATATTTGCAGCAAACGATTATCCTTTTTAGGACTAGAGTTGGGCGTGATCAATTGTCAATTGAATTTAAACTCCTAAATATTAGGATCTAATTCAATAAGGAAAGATATAATAATTAAAATTTAATTGATATCAAAGTCCTAAAGATTAGATAAATAATATAAATAACTATTTTGTCTAATGTGAAATCGAATTTTAAAGGATAAAAAAGACGAATGACATGTCGCTAAGGACCTTCGTGCTTTTAATATAGTGTATAGATAAATGTATAGTTTATCATAAAGAAATTTTTTGAATCTCGCGGTCTTAAATATAATCACGTCATTTCTATAACATGAAATGTTATTAAGAATAAAAGAATAAAATGAAAATGTTAAAACTAAAGAGTAGTAATAAATATAGAAATAACATTCTTTCGAATTCTAGCAACGATAACTCCAGCACTTATATCACTTGAAATTTTATAAATATAATATTTGACACGCATACAACCTGTAATATCAGATAATAAGTCCTACGTTACATTACAGACCGAGTCCAACTACTGCCACGTTATATTGTGTCTCTTTTGACTTTTCTCTTTCTTCCTCTTTTGCCTACGTAAGCGTCTCTACTCCTTTCTCACATGGGAATGCAATAATCTACTCATTAATGGAAATGCCACAAAATCATACCTTGAGATTTTTTAAGTTGACACGAGCTAGAGTTTAATATTAAATTATCACATTATGTTTTATACTAACACGACTTGCCCATTTTGCGTCTTTATTTTCTATTTTGTGTTGGGGTGTAGCTTCCTTGGTCCTTGATAATCAGACTCTTCGTGAGTTCGTTCTATCCAACCGCCAAAAAATATAAAATAGTGCCACCATCCATTAAATATTATTCTACGGTCCCAATTTATTTGATATTTGATATTTTTTTTAGTTAGTCTAAAAATAATAACATATTTTTATAGTAGAAACAAGTTAACTTTAATCTTCTCACGCTTGATTTATAGGCAAATAAATTTCTATTATTTATTTTAGATCACAATTTGTTCTTTAAAAAAAATCTTTTCTTTTAACTATTGTGCCTAATCAAACAAAATTGAAGCGGGGGAAGTATTGTAAAATCGTGCGACCACCCATTAAACATTATTTCATGACTTTTGCCAAGGAATCAAACGACGTGTAACTGCACTACTTCACAGCCAGCTACAACGTGTTGAAAACTTGAAGTAGAAAAATTAGTCAATTAAAAGTGACTTAATTGAAAGTGATACAAAGTATTTTTTTTTATAGAATACATATGTTTGATTAACACATTTTCCTTGACTGTACTTATCTTCATCATTTCTCAATTTTTTTCAATCGATCTAGCTAGTTCAATCGTTTCATATATATATATNTGCAGAGGAGAGCTAATTAAGAGTAAACTGAGAGGAAATGGACGAAATTAGCAACAAAAAGATTCATGTTTTAGCTCTCCCTTCCCCTTTACAAGGTCACATAAACCCAATGGTTCATTTTTCCAAGTGTTTGGTATCAAGAAGAGTTAACGTGACCATTTTCACGTTAGATTTCGTTTGCATGTCCATGTTATCGGACTGTAATGGCTCATTAATCAACATTGAGTCCATTCCACACGACGAATCGCCACCAAATGGAAACATTGATGATCTTCTTGAATGGTACCAAGTACAAATTACTAACAACTTTAGAGCTATTGTTGAGAAATTTTCAGATGTTAAAGTTCTCATTTTTGATTCACTTGCCTCTTGGATAATTGACTTAGCACACCAACTAGGCCTAAAAGTGGCTGCATTTTCTCCAATACCTTGTGCTCCTTCTGCTATATATTATCATATGCATCCAGAAACAAGTAAAATTCCTTTAGATGGTTCAACTTTATCGTTGCCTTCACTTCCCTTGTTGGAAAAGGAAGATTTGCCTTCTTTTGTATACCAACATCGTGATTTACATCCAACTATTGCAAGACTTTTCTTCGGCCTGACTATCAATTTGAAAAAAGCAGATTGGCTTTTGTTCAACACTTTTGACGTGTTAGAAAACGAGGTACGTATATTATGAATTGTATGTTGGATGTGTGTGAATAAGTGGCGAAGTTAAGAAATTCAATAAGGGTATTCAAATTTTGAACACTATTTGCTAGTGGACTATGAAAGGGTTGCTCAAAGTCTATTTTTTTAATCAAATACAGGTAATATTTTACCCTATATATAGTATAATATTTCGACGAAGGATATTTAGTTGACTACTCTTGGCCGTACATAGTTTTGCCCATGTGTGTAACCATCTCATCTAAAAGGTTAAACTATTTGAAAGAGCATACTTTTATTTATTTAATCATGTCTCAATACGCCCCTTTTCACGTGTGGGCTTCATGATTTTTTTATTATTAGCCAAACACGTAGAAATTCTTTTTACTAATGGATGACGATGAGACTCGAACTCATAAACTTCAACCTACTCTGCTACCATGTTGGATGTGTGTAACCTTCTTATCTAAATGGTTAGATGAGATGATTATATATATATATATATATATATACACACACTTCAACAAACACTATATCTCTCAACAAGATTACGTACTTTTTGTTCAACACAATATTTGACATGCAAGCATGTTAGCTGGTTTGGTTTCCTTACTTTTTCTATTTATGATCGAATTATGAACACTTAATATGTTATTGCTGAATTTGTACAGGTGATCAACTGGTTAAGGACCCAATATTCAATCAAAACCATCGGACCAACTTTTCTAACAATGTATCTTGACAAGCAACTAAAAGATGTCAAAGAAAATGGTTTGAGTCCTAGTGGTGAAACTTGTATAAAATGGCTAGACTTGAGAGAAATTGGCTCAGTTATTTATGTATCATTTGGTAGTTTGGCCAGTTTAGGAGAAAAACAAATGAAGGAACTAGCATCAGGATTACTAATGACCAACTGCTACTTTCTATGGATTGTTAGAACTTCAGAAGTGCACAAACTTCCAAAAGAATTCATGTCCAAGTTATCAAAAAAAGGACTAATAGTGAATTGGTGTGCTCAGCTTGATGTCTTGGCTCATAAATCAGTTGGATGTTTTTTTACTCATTGTGGATGGAATTCGACGCTCGAATCGTTAAGTTTGGGAGTGCCAATGGTTGGTATGCCCCAATGGGCAGATGAACCAACTAATGTTAAGTTTATTATGGATATATGGCAAACTGGAATTCGAGTTAAGGCTGGAAAAGATGGTATAATTACTAGAGAAGTAATAGCAAGTTCTATAAAGGAAATTATGGAGGGGGGAAAAGGTGTAATGCTAAAAGAGAATGCAATTAAATGGAAACAATTGGCTAAAGAAGCAATAAATGAAGGAGGAAGTTCTAACAAGAATATCGAGGAATTTATTCAATCACTATACACTAAGTAACATATCCAAATAACATATCCAAAGAACAAATATATATTTTTTTTGTTGCAAGAATCACTTTGTAGTTCAGAATTTATAGAGCATGTCTTTATTATATTGTTGTTTCTCATTGTTTCATATATAATGTATCATTTTTGTACCTTAATTTTATTGTATTATATTGGTTTGTTGTGTCAATGGTTGGATTATTTGTATTTCTTGTTATAGCATTTTTTTGTTTACGTTTACTAAAATGTCCTTAACTTACTCGTGTAAATATTGAGATATCAACAATACATCCTAAAGAAAATATAAGACAACTTTTTTTGCCTAATGTTTAATCAATCATACATTGTAAGGACGTTATTATTTTATTGAATCCAAACAACTCAGGGTAATGTCTTTACATGCTTCTCTATTGACTTCTTTATCTACTTTTTTATTTTTTAAATGCCCTTTTTCATATAATCTCGATCATACCAATTAGACTAAGTTCCTAAATAGAATCTTCAGCCACAATTCTCTGTGAGTTGTTGACTATTTGGTAGTTGATTGATATCAATGCTTAATGCTCTAATCTTAAGTTGTTGATAGATGTTTAAATCTCTTAAATATATATTAGTACTTCCATTGTTTCATTTTCTATGATAGTAATTGACTGCCCACAGAGTCTAAGACGTCTTAAAAATTGGGAAGGAATGGTACATAATTTGCTTAATTGCCGTTCATTATTCGTGTTTGTACGAAATTCATTCCCCTAGACTATATAAGCTTATTTGGTTTATAATGTCGTTCAGTTCTTTGATTAATTTGATATATTTCCTTTTTTCCTAGAACCCCATCTAATGTGGTGGCCGATTTACGCAAATATCCTTTTTAGTCTACTATTTAGAATTTGTTCCTATTTTGAAAAGGCGTGCAAATATAATTCTTAGAAAAATTAGAGAAAATGGCACCAAGTGACAACATACAATACGAATTAGCAAATATTTTGGAGAAAACTACCCTCTATAGCCCCTCAAAATTTTAATAGCACATGTTTTTGCCCATTAACACAAAATGACCCTCCGGCCCAAACATATTACATCTAATAGCCCGAAATATCTATTTTGTATATTTTTTATATAGTGACAGTCTATTTAGTATATATTTTATATGGTGACAGTCTATTGTATATAAATTGTATAGTGACAGTCTATTTTGTATATATTTTATAGTGACAGTCTATTTTGTATATTTTTTGTATAATGATGGTCTATTTTTGTATATATTTTGTATAGTGACAGTCTATTGTATATAAATTACATAGTGACAGTCTATTTTGTATAATTTTTGTATAGTGACAGTCTATTTTATATATTTTTTATAATATACCAATATTCAAATCTATTTTCACCGAAAGAAATACATAAATATCCCACTACTAAAAATCTGCTAAAAACCGACCAACGTTGGTCGGTCAAAAAATGCGACCAAAAACCGTCCAGGTTGGACGCAAACTGGGGGAAAAAAAAATATTTACATTTTTTTTAAACAAAATACCGACCAACGTTGGTCGGTAAATTAGTCAATAGCTGGTCAGACAAGAAAATTTTGGATTACCGACCAACGTTGGTCGGTAATCTGGATCTAATTTTTTAAATTTTAATAATTATTTTATTATTTAAAATATTTTATAATATTTAAAAATTTATATTTAAAATTACCGACCAACGTTGGTCGGTTAATGTAGGGGAAGCATTTACCGACCAACTTTGGTCGGTAATTGTTATTTTCTGCAAAATAACCGACCAAAGTTGGTCGGTTATTACGTCAACATTGATCAAACTTTCGAATTACTTTTATATTTACTATCTAAATAATATAAATGTAATTCGTTAACACTTTTGTAATACAAATAAT